AGTTTCTTTTAATGCTGAAGTAAAGGAAGCTAGAACTGCTTATTTTGCCAACTTAATCTCTTAAGAGAGAAATCCCAAGATTTTGTTTGACACAATTAAGAGAATTGTTTCACCGTCTGTCTCTACATAACCATGCTGTTCTGTTGATGATTGCAACAAGTTCCTTGCCTATTTTATTGATAAGGTAATAGCTATTAGGTCTGGTATTCAGCCTGGGATCTGTTCATCTACATGTAGCTCCTCTCAATATCCTACTGTTCTGGACTCTTTCCAGCCTATCAGCCTCCAATACCTGATGGACTTAATTAAGAAAAGAAAGCCATCATCTTGCCCTCTGAATATAATACCATCCTCTCTATTTAAGAAAGTTCTGCTAATTATTGGCCCTGCAGTAACATCTACTGTCAATTCCTCATTGTCTACAGGAATTGTCCCGTCCTATTTTAAGCATGCCACTATCCAGCCAATATTAAAGAAACCCAACTTAGATCCGGCATTGCCTATGAACTACAGGCCCATATCAAAACTGCCTTTCCTATCCTAAATCTTAGAGAAAGTGGTCACCAACCAACGTACTGCTGCACTGGAGAGGCACAACATGTACGACAAATTCCAGTCTGGGTTTCGTAAACACTCTACTGAAACCGTTCTCCTGAGGGTTTCAAATGACATTCTCATGTCTTCTGATGCAGGTCTGTGTTAGTACTTCTGGACCTCAGTTCTGTATTCGACACTGTCAAACATACGGCCCGCCACGTCATTTTATGTGGCCCGCGAATCCGCCAGATAAATAAATTAAATTAAATTAAAATTAAAATTTTAAGTTAGATTTGATCATAAAAATATCCCCATAGTCGAAATTAGGAGATAGAAAGTCGAAGTTATGAGATAGAAAGTCGAAGTTATGAGATAGAAAGTCATAACTATGAGATAGAAAGTCATAACTATGAGATAGAAAGTCAAAATTATGATACTTAAACACACAGTCATAAGCAGCTCTGGTTACCCTACATTTGAAATGGAAATGTATTGTGAGTACATTGAAGACTACTTTAAAACACATGAAATACTTCACGTGGGATTGTGCAAACGCACCCTTGAAAGGATTTTACGCATTGAACAAAGTTATTGTAATAACTTGTGTTTGATATTTGTCTTTGTTATTTTCTTTAATATTTTGATCTTTGATAGAGTAATGTGGGTTTATTAACCCTAAATTAAAAGGATTTAAGTTATAATAACAGAAATATGCTTAAATATATTTTTACAGTTCTATAACTGCATGTACAATATTTTAACACTTGAATAAACAATAATCAAATGCAGAGACAGTTATTTACCAATATGTTAGGAGTAGTTACATTTACAGTCTTACATTTAAGACAGCGACCATGATGCTGATGTGGCCCAGAGTGAAAATGAGTTTGACACCCCTGCTGTAGACCATACCATCCTGATTAAGAGGCTACGTGATTGGGTTGGCATATCTGGCATAGCGTTAGACTGGTTTACATCTTACCTCTCTGACAGAACTTTTAATGTCTCTGTGGGTGATTTTGTGTCTGTCACCTCTCCATTGTCTTGTGGTGTACCGTAGGGCTCGGTTCTGCGGCCTCTGTTATTTTCCCTTTATTTGTTACCTTTGGGACCGATTATAAAAAGTTACAATATGTCCTATCATTTATATGCAGATGATATCCAACTCCATCTGTCATTCAAACCCAGCGAGGCCTTCACATTAACTAGGCTCCTGGACTGTGTCAATGCCATCAGAGACTGGACGGCGGAAAACTGCTTACAACTTAATGACAATAAGACGGAGGTTCTAGTTATTGCACCACATGAGTATTGGTCCACTCTCCTCTGCTGCCCATTGCAACCTGCGCAATGTAGGGATTTTCTTTGATCGATCAGTGTCATTTGACCCCCATAAGCAGCTGTCCAGATCATGTTTCTTCCACCTAAGAAATATCAGTAAACTGAGATCTGTAGTATCAACACCTGAACTAGAGATGATCATACACACATTTATCTTTTCACGCATTGACTACTGTAACTCACTTTTCACATCACTCAGTGTATCTGCTCTTAACCGCTTGCAGGTCATCCAAAACGCTGCCGCCAGATTACTCACCAGAACAAATCGACGGTCTCACATCACCCCCGTACTCCGATCTCTCCACTGGCTCCCTGTAGCATTTAGGATACACTTCAAAATTCTCACCCTCACTTACAGAGCACTTCACGGTCAGGCTCCCACATGTGTAGCTGATCTACTTCACCCATATTCACCCACCCGCACTCTCAGGTCAAACGTTTTAGGTCTTCTGTCTGTCCCACGCACTTGCCTTAAGACCCGTTGTGACCGAGCTTTAGAGGCAGTAGCACCGAGGCGGTGGAATGCTCTGCCTGCAACTCTACGCCTCGCAGATTCTGTGAACACTTTTAAAAATTAGCTCAAAACGCACCTTTTTAGACTGGTGTTTGGGTAAAACCCATGTCCTATACCTGCTTTTAAACTATGTTTTAATTTAGTATTTTTCTGTGTGTATGTAAATTATTGGCCCTATGGTCACATTGTGTTTTTTATGCTTGTAATTTATGCCCTGTTAAGCACTTTGTGACTTTTGTCTGTGAAAATCACTGTATAAATACATTTTACTTACTAACTCCAGTCCATGTGTCCTTGGGCAACAATCGCTCCCGAGGCTGTGTTCGATGTATGCATGTGGGTGAATGATGACCTACTATACTATATGTACTAATGTACTATATTGTAGAAATACAAGTCCATTTACCACGATACACATTTGAACCGGTTTGAAACTGCCATGTTTTGTGTTAAAAGAATAGCTGTCAAATAAATGATGTAAAATATTAAAAGTTTAAACGAGCATCAAATGGAAATAATCAAATGTACAAGTATCTCAGTATAAGTACAGAACCTCAGTAGATGTACATTCAACCCCTGTAAAATTACGAGACATAAGTATTCACATTTTTTGTCTATGACTGCATTAAAACGATCTCTGGGGTTCTATATACACATTTGGCATCGGATATTTCGTATGCATTCAGGCCTTTGTAAGACTTAAATGTATTTATATTGAATACTTTTGATTGTTTTCAGGAAAAAGTAAAGAAATAGAAAATAGAGGTATGTTTGCAGTACTAGGCTACCTAAGATACTTATTTCTATACTCTATGAATCATTAGGAGAATTTCAGTCTTCTTGTTTTTGCAAGGTTTGTAACCTGTGGGAACAATTTACTTCCTGCAGAAACGGTTGTCATGTTTTGACCACTTCCTGTGCTCAGCACAATGCTACCTAATATGGACTGCATATCTTACCTGTCAGCGATACAAACCATTTTCTCAAAAGCTTTTTTAGGATTTAATTATCTACTCAGTACACAGGAAATACAGATAAACCAGCTCTGATATTTTAATTTATATGTGACAACTGTAGAAACAGAACAGCTGCTATGAGTTCCAGACATACAGCAGGAAATGGATCAGAACTAGACAGATTGTTTAGCAAGGTAAAATGAATAGCTGATAGAAAGCAGTATCCTACTGTTCTACATATTTTCACTTATTTAGCATGAGACAGTGAAAGTTATTTTGGAGAAAAACACAGTAGAGTAGACTAACATTATCATCGTTATTAATGAATGACTCACCCCATATTCCAGCTGTACTCAGTATTTTTAGCAATCTGCTTCTTCTCATCAACTTGAATCCCCCCTCTCACAAGTACATTTGTTGTCTATTCAATCAAACCTGCTGTCATTCTTGCACACCTCCAATGCTCTCTCTCTCATGACATTGTTCAGCACTAACCACTTGCACTTCTGCCTTTATATTCTCATTTCCTCGACAGGTTTTTTTCTCTCTTCCTGTTCTCGTCTCCTTCACTCGTTCTTTTAAATTCTTATTTTCACACCTCCCTCTTTTGCTGTTTCTCTTTGGCATGCTCTGATTTCTGTCTGCTTTCTTCCTTTCCGTCATTCAGTTTTGTTTGTTTGGGGAGGAATACCTTTTAGTACAAGTGGTTCCCTGCTGAATCTGTGTGTGTGTTGTGGGGTGAAGGACGACAAGATTCACTGCATTTGCACTCTAGTCATGAGTCTTGTTCACATAAATATTTAGACTACTTCAGATAAAGAGTCACATGGAGGCATCACATGCGGTGGTTCAGTAAAACTCTCCATGTCATTGTGTTTCTTGGCTCAAAAAAAATATTACTGTATTAGTTACAATATACAACAGCAGTAGTAAAGAGTTTTATTTTACTGAAGGGTAAATGGAAGCCACAGCAAAATGTCATCTCCAAAAGAAGGAACTGACAAACTATTAAAGTAGCTCACTATTGATGTTTTTTATGAATACTGAAAAAGTATTCAGCCATTAAGGTTTTTGTATAATTAAATGGAAATCACAGAAGCATTTGCATATGCTATCAAATGCACTGGACTTGATGTTCATGTTACTCTATGACAAAGTTATCCCTCAGGCTCTGTCACAGCACTACTAACCAGTGCTTAATTTCCTTCTAATGCTGCGATAGCTATACAAGAACTGTGAATTTCATTATTTTTGCCTCCAAAGGACTGAATAAACATGAGTTCAGAGGAATGATGAACACATTTTTACAAAATAACAATGCTATTTGGCATGTTTTTAAACGCATTATATATCAAACGCCAGATGTGTTTTATTTATATATATATCTGAACAACATACAATAATATTATGTTTCCTTGTGCAGAACAGAAAAGTTTCCTTTGCATCAACAAACTCTAAAATATCTGGTATGAACTGCCAGAATTATATCTTTGCTGTTGGGGACGTATTTGTACATGTTGTATCCATAGTGTTTGTGCGTGTTAACATGTAACTTTGGGTGCCTGTGTGTGTGTGTGTGAGAGAGTGTGAAAATAACTTGACATCTTGTTAAACTAGCTATGTCCCTTTAATAGCCATCACTAGCCACATCTAAATGTTGTTAATTAATTTCCTCTTACAGCTCACAATCTCTCTGCTGTTCCTCATTCTCTTAATGTCTCTATACCAGGCTACACAATTCTGAGCATAATATCACTAGATATCAGGTTAATACATTATAAACTATGCAATTATACAAAAGTGAACACATTCCTTATCAATATTTCCCTGTTTGCACTGTAAATATAATAGCCTTACCCAGAGCAGTAACACTTTATATTAACTACACGCTATGAAGCATTAGTTCAGTATGCGTAAACACTTAATTTATCATTTATAAAGCATTGTTCCTACATTAACACTCAGTATACAAACAAAAAGTTATAAATGTTTTAGTCTTGATTAATACGCTCGTCTATTATGTGTTTCATGATTGTGTTTTCTTACTTTATAAATGATGGATTCCCCATTTGTAATTGAAGTATTATATATATTACAAACCAATTATTAAGGAGCTGTAGATGATTAATAACATAATTTGTAAAGTGTTAGTAAATGATTAAGAAATTATTTAGATGTACATTATTCATGCATTTATATATAATGATTTAGACAGTGCTGTGGGAGTATGGGGTGCCGGACCCGTAACAACGGGCGATCCGGTCTCTGTACGACTGCAGTAGGCGCTGTGTCCGCATTCTCGGCAACACGTTCCCAGTGGGTGTTGGCCTCCACCAGGGCTGCCCTTTGTCACCGGTCCTGTTCGTGACTTTCATGGACAGGATATCTAGGCGCAGCCTGGGGGCGGAGAACGTCAAGTTCGGGGGGTCTCAGGATCGCCTCTCTGCTGTTTGCAGATGATATAGTCCTGTTGGCCTCCTCGGATTGTGACCTCCAGCATTCACTGGGGCGGTTTGCAGCCGAGTGTGAAGCGGCGGGGATGAGAGTTAGCACCTCCAAATCTGAGGCCATGGTGCTCTGCCGGAAACCGGTGGATTGCTCCCTCCAGGTGGGGACGGAGTGCCTACCTCAAGCGAAGGAGTTTAAGTATCTCGGGGTCTTGTTCACGAGTGAGGGTAAGATGGAGTGGAGATTGACAGGCGGATCGGTGAGGCTGCAGCAGTAAAGCAGGCGCTGCACCGGACCGTCTTAGTGAAGAGGGAGCTGAGCCGGAAGGCAAAGCTCTCAATTTACTGGTCGGTCTACGTTCCTACCCTCACCTATGGTCACGAACTCTGGGTCGTGACCGAAAGGACAAGGTCGCGGCTAAAAACGGCCGAAATGAGTTTCCTCCGTAGGGTGGCCGGGCTCAGCCTTAGAGATAGGGTAAGGAGCTCGGTCATCAGGAGGGAGCTTGGAGTCGAGCCGCTACTCCTTCGCGTCGAAAGGAGTCAGCTGAGGTGGTTCGGGCATCTAATTAGGATGCTTCCTGGACGCCTCCCACTGGAGGTTTTCCAGGCACGTCCAACTGGGAAGAGACCCCGGGGAAGACTCAGAACACGCTGGTGAGATTACATCTACCAGCTGGCCTGGGAACGCCTCGGGATCCCCCAGAATGAGCTGGAACATGTTGCCGGGGAGAGGGAAGTCTGGGTCAGCCTGCTTGGCCTGCTGCCACCGCGACCTGACCCCAGATAAGCGGAGGAAAATGGATGGATGGATTTAGACAGTGGCGGGCCGTGTATTTTATACCTGGGCCTTCAGTGCTGTCCTACTACAGTTGAACCACCTCCCATTAACCTCATTATGATGCCACAGCTACAGGTTATTATTTGTTTTGTGTCAAAATTGCATATTCACATAACACTGCAACATTTGACAAGTGAAATAAAGTGTTACATGAAGCTCAACCCCTATGAGGGCTACAAGTACACTAACTGCAGAGTGCAGATACATGAATACACGCATTAAAGGGATGCTGCATCATTAACGGATAATGCATATAGTCGAAATCAATGTAATTAACACGACAAGAACAAACTCACAAGAACCAGTCACATATATTTATATGACAACACAGCAGGTAGAATAACATAAAACCTAAATAACACGATCAACAGGCCTCTGTATGGAGCTAAATCCAGGTCAAAAGTTTTTACCTGAAAGTTTAAGTTGTGGTCTTGAACATTGAAAAATACAGCAATGTATTCAAAAGTTTTTTTTGGTTGAATATAATTTTGATTCAGTTCTGGAATTCTTTTGAATACATTTTTCTTTTTCATTTTTCACTTTCATATATATTTTGATATTTGAGTTCTTATATTTTTTCAGTTCAGATCATTTTTTTCCAATTCAGGTCGTTTTTTTCAGTTTAGATCATTTTTTTTCAGTTCAGATCGTTTTTTTCAGTTCAGGTCGTTTTTTCAGTTCAGACTTTTGACCCTGATCTAACGTGGGGGCGTGGTATCAACTGAGAGGGGCGTGTCACCATGAGTGACAGCATAACAACGAAGGCTGAGGACCGTCCTCAATCACGTTGCCTTCAGGTAACGTGGGCACCGCAATAATTATGATTCGACACTTTCTATACACCAAATTCACGTGATTGGAAGTAAAAAAAATTACGCTAGTGACAAAGTTCTGTTCAGCAAGCTGTTTTAGCCTCTACTTGGCACAAATCACAGTAAAAGAGCAATAAACTATGCCATATTGACTCAACTACCACACTTTAATATCTGACGTTTCGCACTTCCACACACCACTGTGAACGCAGCGTAGTATCCTTGCGATGGCGTCCGCGAGAAAGGGCCAGCTCAGAATGTGGCAGCGGCAGCTAGTAGAGGCACTTCCTGTTGCAAGCTCCGCTGCTGCGGGAAGTTGTGCCACTGTTTGGGAGAGGTGCCGTGGCAGTTTAGCCTTTATTTGTCATCATTTGACAATATGTGACAAAGTATTAAGGTCCTTGAAGGTATGACTGTTGGTAATTGTAATCGGTTTAGTAAAAAAATGCCGAATTGTAATAGTATGGCTACTCATTTTTATTAAACTAAGCTAATGTAGGCTAACATCAGTTGGCACTTGTTGCCATGGCAACTACACCAGCAGACTAAACTGACGGAGGATGACGGCTATGCTAACGAATTTCACAAAAAAAACGATCTGAACTGAAAAGAACGACCTGAAAGTGAAAAAAAGATTTGAAACCGAAAAAAAAAAAGATTTGAATCTAAAAATATAAAATCTGAAACTGAAAAATATAAGAACTCAAATATCAAAATATATTTGAAAGTGAAAAATAAAAAAAAAAATGTATTCAAAAGAATTCCAGAACTGAATCAAAATTATATTCAACCCAAAAACACTTTTGAATACATTGCTGTATTTTTCAATGTTCAAGACCACAACTTGAACTTTCAGGTTAAAATTTTTTTTTCAAATTAACAAAACTTTTGACCTGGATTTAGCTCTATACCTCTGCACATACCAGCAACACTGCTGCGCTAAAACACGCATTCTGCCACACACTAAAGAGCATGTGCCATTGAAATATTATTCACATCAGAGGGAACAATATTAACCATATCATAAAAATGACATGATAGAAAAATGAACACAGTAGTAACGCTACTGCAGATGTAAAAACAAAGCAGTTCACTTACCAAAGCTGCTGTTCACTATTTAAAGACAAAAGTCCATTCTCCTTTCTTTGATTACAAAGAGTTTAATACCACGGTTGTACAGAACATCGGTGCAGTTCAGTTCCAGCAAGAGGTCCTTCTCGATTCATGAACTCCAGTGAAGACAGTCGAGCCACCCCAGTTGTATTTCTTAAATATGTTTTAATACATTTGAGGGCTGAAAATGTCCGCTCGACAGAGGCAATAGATATTGGAATTGTCACCACCAAACATCCCAAAATGCTAAAAAGGTAATGTCATGTAAAAACATCTTACATATCTTTAAACTCTAACTTTTACTAATACAAAGTTCTGCTAGCTAGTTTCACAACAGTCACGCTAGCCCACTGACCAATCAAACCACATGTTAATGCTGACGTACTTGTAGGCCAGCCAGAAGCTCTGGCACGTCAATGAATACGTCCAACATGTCAAACTAAAAATCTGATTGGTTGAAGACTATGACAATCAACAATATCGTCCCCATTTACTTAAACTGCAAAGGGATTCACTTGTAAGTCTCAAGGCCTCCGGGCAGATTTTTTTTTACTTAGAGACAGCATAGGTGTGAAATCTGATTGGATAAAAGCTCTACTTAAAACAAGCTGCGCTTCCAGCGCAACTGAGGAAGACAGTAGCTGTGCAATGAGATAATAAGCTAATGGGAAAAAATATTTAGAATACTTGTAGTGTATTTATGAAAATTAATTAAATTATAAAATAGCTATAACTTTGTGATTCTGTCTAGGCCAGCAGAGAAGGCCTTGCTAGCCCTGACGGTCCACCACTGGATTTAGATATGCACTAATGGTTAGGGACTATGTTAATATATGCTTTATAAATGCGTATTAATTCTGCAATTCATAATTAATTCAGGTAGTTACTAGTCGTTAGTTAAGTATTTTGTGGGACCTCATGTATTTACGAGTACATTGTTTGCATCTTGCAATAAATATTGATATGTTCTTGATCACTTTGTGTTGTGTCTTATTTGACTTTTCTGTTGAGAAGATAACTGAGACTTTTGTGGGTTTTGAGACACTGATGGCCTTTTCAATTTATAAATGATGGCTGTCATTTATAAATGCTTTGTAAGGCATAGATAGTCCTTACTTTAGATGAGGTAAGACTACTAACTACCTAAATTAATTATGAATTGCAGTATTAATACGCGTTTATAAAGCATATATTAACATAGTTCCTAACCATTATTGCATATCTAAATCATTATATATATATATATATATATATATATATAT